GTTGCCCAGCTGTCCAGATGAGAAAAGCAATGAAAGCTCTGTGGAGAGGCCCCACTCTCAGAAGTTTTCACCTTAGGGCTCTCCATGAAACCTGGTAATGGGGCCGTCCAGGGGCCTGCCACATCAAGGTGCTCATATATGAGTTGAATGGATGGCTGACAATGAGTTTGAGCAAAGTTGTGCTTCCAGTATTAGAAGGCACTTTCCAGCCTCTCCACAGCAGCCTTGAAGATAAAAGCTGGGAGTGATGGGTGGAGGTTGAAGCCGATGTGTTGCTGGGGTCTTAGGGATCTGGGAGTCTAGGAACACAGGTAGGGGAGGGAAAGAGAGGAGAGAGCTGAGAGAAGTTGGCGGGGGAGGGAACGAGGCCCAACCTGTGCTTGGGCAGATAGACAGGGTGCAGGGCAGGATGGAAGGCTCTGGCCGGGGTGCTTGCTGGGAGGCGCTTGGACTGGAAGCGGAGGGACAAGCTGTGGTCTGCCTGTTCTGACTCCAACTTCCTACTGGTATATCAACTACCTCAGCCTTTGTACAAGGGCCAGATCTGGACAGGATCCTGCACTTAGCACATTGTTGGCTAAAACCAGTTCCTTTCTTCTTTCTTAGTATCCAGCAGAAATCAGGAAGTATGAGTACGACCCAAATTTTGCAATTCGTGGACTTCATTATGATGTGCAGCGGGTAGGTTTACTTCTCCTGTTTTTCTGTGGTTTAATGATGTTTGGAAATGAAATGTACTCTTGGTACTTTTCTTTACTGAATGGGCAAATTAGTTTTAAATTATGTTATTTGGGACTGCAGAACCAAATTATTCACATATCTTTGGATAGAATCTTCTGGAAGAAACTATGTATTAGAAAAGCATAAATGCATTTAGCTATTTAGGAGGTACTGTTTATTTCTAGTAGTCATTTTGGTGTTTTGAGGAAGAACCACTTGCCATATCTATTTTTTTCCCCTGTCTTTTGCAGATAGGCCATTTCTTTAAAGAGCTGTACAGCACATTAATTAACAAGCAACCCTTTCAGGAACGTACAGTGTGCTTCCTTGTTAGGGCAGCCTAATGTTGATAGGATTTATGACGACACCTGGAAGGCTCATGTAATATGCAAATGGTTATACATTATTTACATGTGCATATGTTTATGTTTTTAAAGGCAGTGTTAATGAAGATCGATGCTTTTCATTATATCCAGCTGGGAACTGTCTACAGGTAAGAGTAAGAGGAGATACATTTAATTTACGTGAAGTAACCAGGTGCTTTGGGTTTCAGGACCCTCTGACTGTTTAGTGATGAGGAGGGCTGCAGTGTGGATATGATTCATCCATTCACTCACTTATTCAAGAGCATTTGTTGAGGCCTGCTACCATGATAGGTGCTAAGGGCTTGGTTTGCACTGATGTCCTCAAGGAGCTCAGAGTGTGGTTGGGAAGTCATGTAAGTAAACTTGACTGCAGTTCGGAGTGACAGAGGTGATGATGGAAATGTGCTCAGAGGTGGCCAGGCACGGTGGCTCATGCCTGTAACCCCAGCACTTTGGGAGGCCGAGGCGGGTGGATCATGAGGTCAGGAGATCAAGACCATCCTG